TGAACCCAAATATCCTCCCACTATACAAGTCAAGAGGAGGTTTGGAGAAGTAGTTTCTTTAGCTTAATAGTAAAAACAAGTTGGGGGGCGGGGGGTGGTGTGGTGGTGGTGTACACACACGACACAGGACCAAAACCAAAAACCTCCACAAGTTTATATCAATTTTAAGCAATATTACAGTATTTTTTAATGTCTGTAATATGTAAAAGAAAATATTTGAACACAAAGTCACTGGTTACTGAAACTCAGTCACTGCATGATTTAAATTTACAAAGGGATGATCTCATATACGGTGTCCTGATAATAAACATCACTTGATGATAGCAAAAAGCTCTAAATAATGAATTATCATTCATTTTTATACTAAGATTTCAGATAAGCTTTTAATGCCAATAAAATCTATTGCAAAAATAAGATATATTTAAGCTTTTGCAAAAGAACTTGCATAGGTGCATATGTATATGCACAAGGTTTTTACAAAATATATGTAAATCAAATAGTCTCCACTAAAAGATTTGAACCCATATTTAACCATCAATATAATTGGACTTTTCATGATGTAGCTTTTCCAGAGTCACATTTATTCGTATGGTGCTTCCCCCACCTCACTCCCTCCTTAATTTAAGTAGTTCTACAGGTACAATTACTTATTGCCACTTTTAGCTTGTCAAGTTCAGGCCAAAGTTGCTTCCCTCAGATGCTTTTAGTATATAACTGCCTGCACGTGTGGGCATTAGAAGTATTATTTTTGAGAAGGCATGTAAGAAAGTTGGATCATCTCACTCATAATTGTGATATTATTACTTGAATAACCAATTCAAGTTACATTGCATAGATATTTGCCCCTGCCCATTCCTGTTATAGAAATGGAACAAAATACTCTAAAAACCTGTGTGAAGGTATGAAGATTACAAAAGAAGATTTAATAAAATAGGGGCCACAGACAATAGATCACATGGTGGTATTTGTCCCTCCCTTTCCATAAGCACAGGCCAGGTCCCACGGTGAGTTCCTTACAGGCAGGTTCTCGCGCTGCCCTGTCACCAGGTTCTGTCGTAGGTGTGCACATCACACACATTTCCTCCCCAGCAGAATCATTACTGTTGGAACATGGATGTACATCCTTCTACACTGGGCCTGTATACCAGTAGGGTGAGCTGCAATAAAATAAATGAGTGTACTATATTACTGTAGGCTCAAGCTTCAATTTAAGTTCAAATACTATACAGTTCACGCTTTGCCTAGGAGGCGTTGTAAGAGAAAAAGAAAGATGAGTCAAACCAGAGAGATAAGATTGAAAGAAACATTGCAAACTGTACACAGCTGGGCTGTCAGATGGAGCAGGTAGAAGACCAACCTTTCCCTCCTGACACAATCAGTCTCTGCCTTGCAGACACTGGCAAATCCCCAGAGATCACAACTACCCCTGGAAAGGGCAGAAAATCCTGTAGAAAGATATATCCCCCCCCCGTCTGTGACTAATTTACCTCAACTTGTGAGCTAGTGCTTACTCCCAAAGTCCCAGCAGCACTACAAAAAAGTTGACCACTGGCATGAACAGAGCAACTGCAGTGCTATTGCACTGCATGGCTGTTTGAAACACTTAGCTAGAGAAGAATGAGTGAAATGTAGATAATTTGAGTCACAATTTGAAATGAGGCCTTAACCTGGGCAACAGCTATGAAAAAAGTGACAAGAGGACCTCATCCAAGTTTAAAGTAAGTTCTGCTCTAACATCACTCAGATCGTGTGCAATACCAAGTTAACCAGTTAGAAGCACATGAAAGCCTCACCCTAATGGGTCAGAGCAGAAAATAAAGGCTCTCCCATGGCAATCTGAAGTACTTGCTTCATAATGCTGCCTGTAAGAGGATGAAACTTGGTTTTAGTGCAAAGGTACTTTTGCCTTTCGCCCCTTTTCAACATGGACTTTAGATCTCATATGAAGAACTTTGATAAAGGGATGGAAAATATTAGTCACAAAACTTGGACAATACACACAAGATTTCAATGAAGTAACACACAGCTTCGTTTCATTACAGCTGATCAGTGGAGATGTCAAGATAATTTCACAGCAAACAGCCTCTATCAGTGGTGCATCAGAGTCCAACTGAACTTTTTCTGATAGAAGCCACAGCCACTGTTTGCCCATGGTGTGTATAAGAGTCAGGCACTAACACAAGCGGCATAGGTGCAGCTAAAGTGTAGTAAGAGCTTCTACACCAAGAGAAAAATAATGAAGCAACAAAACAGGTCAAGGAATTTGGAAAGTTACCCCTACAAATGCAACTACTAAATGAAACTTTTTAACCAAGGGAAACGATCCAAGAAGAGTTTCTGTAAGTATGACGCTTTGTACTTCGAAATATTAACAGAAAAGTATAGGGAAACCCCTCTTTTTCTCTCGGCATGTGAAAGTTATCTCAGAATAGCAAAGGCATTCATTTTAGAAATGTTTCTGATGTATAAACAACTTTATCCCTATTTATATATAAATATTTTGTGTAATACTGCTAGTACGAACTAAGCTGAATGACATTACAGAAGGCAATTAATTAGAACTTTTATATAGTGGTTTCTCTCTGAAGGGTCTGCTGAAACCTACACTGCGTACCAAAACCTGTGACGTTAGGTAGTTTACAGATTCAACTGGCACAGCATAAGGGTGCTGAAAAATCAAAATGTATGTTGTAGTTTGAAAAATAAAGCAGTTTTCCTGATATTTTTCCAATATAAAATAATAGTTAAACAGTCATTTCCAGATCACATTTTAAAGACGTGAATAACTTTAGGACTTAGATTAATTTATTATCAGACAGGCAATTCCTTATCTGAAAGTATTATAACCATGTGACTGACTTTCTGATTACAAGACCTGCAGGAAGAACAGATCTTATGTGTTAAAAGAACTTATGGCCTTGTTGCAATAAAACCTTATAATGAGCAAACAAAAAGGATACTACATGTTATTTATATGTATCAGGTGAAAGCAGCTCACATGATCCAAATCTAGTTAGCTGAACACTGCAAAGCTGTATTAATTAGTTAAGATGTAGATGGGCTACCATTTAGAACAGAAGATAGGACACTAATGTAGGTAAAGTCACAGGCTGTACTTTTGAAGATTAGCCAATTCAAAACTGACACAAATTGCTCAAGGGCATGATGTAGCTTTGTGTACTATTCCTGTCTTATTTTAGGAGTAAGACTATTGCCAGCAGAAACAAGCAACATTAGAGTAATGAAGCATAGATTATGCTCCAGTGGAAAGAAGACATTCCAAGGAAGCACTGAAGAAGATAAAAATCAGCATGCTCTGTTCCTTGGTCTGTTAGGAAATGTTTCTAACATAAAAAGAAGAGAGAACTACAAAGCCCTGGATGTATGCTTGGCAAATACGTGTACTCAATGAGCCCTGGGGAACAATATTTGCTTAAAGCCTCTAACTCAGATTAAAATGGTTCCTCAGAACAATAACATTTCCTTATACAAATGTGACTTCATGCAGCAACCACCTGAAGAAAAAAAAATACTGATTGACACTTTGAATTTAGATGGAAGTAGCTGAACTAGATTATTTAATATTGCTTCATCTAATATTTCTTGAGCATTTCTGTATAGTAGGCAATGTACATAAGCTTTTTCAGGTTTCAAAAAAGCCACAAAGGCTGTATTTTGGTTATATTTCAGTGAATAGAAGACTAACAATTGCAGCATGAAAATACTCAAAATAGAAGGCATTGGGTAAAATAGTCTAAAATAAGCAATAACCATATGCCTGAATTTAAATGCATAACTTTATCATAAATATGGAATCTTGTGTAGTTTTAAAAGATTGGTTTTAGGCAGCAGGTGAGATGAGTAAATACCAATGAAATGAACAGGCAGAGTGTAGAGGAAGTCACACTGAAACCAAGCAGAGCGCGTAGTTCAGAGAATTCCACAGACGTAGTAATTGGGCAGTGGCCACCAGCAATCCTACCAGGCTGCAGGGAGCCTGGGCAGCAGGAGCTGCAGTATCACAGGTGGGCAGAGTGAGGAAGTTTTAAAATCCTGTAGGAAATCTACTGGGTAAGACTCTTGTATAACGTAAAACTGGATATAGATGTCATGAAACAAGGAAAATAAGACTAAAGGTAAATGCAATCATTTCACAGGTTCAGAAGGCTGCACTGGGAGATACAGCCTTGTTCTGCATTTTATTACATATTTCAGTCTGAAGGAAAAACTGGCTGTATGAGGAGTATGCGCCAGTCAAACCCAAACCTGAAAGAAACTGCGAGTTTAAAGAAATAATGTACAAGACTTTGTATAGACCTGCCTGAAATCAAAACAATACTTACCCACTGTCCCAAGTAAATTTTGCAAAAAAAATTTGGCGTCTCTTGAAAGCCAAAGAGGAAGGAATAAAGATACTTCAGGTCACAGGATTTTTTGTTTGCTTGTTTTTCTAGACTCATTCCTATTAAAAAATTATAATGCATATCTTATGGACATCATCTCTGTACAAAAGCAAGTTTAATACCAATTTTTATTGGCTTGGAGATATTTGCTGGACAATTATCAACATTAATCTCAGACACTTAAGTTACTCAGCATTGTCCAGTTTACATTTAGCTTTGATCCCTGATCTAGGTCACCCTGAACTTTCAGGGAAAAGATCTCTGGTTTCCTTCTGCTTTGGGTCAGGCTCAACCTGTAATCTCTTTTCACAACTGGAGAAGCAAAGACAGAGAATTATTAACACTTCTATTTTTCCCCTCAAGAGATAGTCATTGGACTGCTTGATTATTTTTTTTAATTACTTATTAAGTTCTTGCATGTTATAAAAATATATTTTGGTTTAACGCTTCAGCCATGACTTATAAAGACGCATAAAATAAGAATACCACTAGAACTGGTAGCACAGCTATATGGAGACTGAATTATAACTGGAATTTGAGATAGCCAGAGCTGAGCACAGCAGATTTAAAACTCACGTATTTTCCATGTTTAGGAGAATGAGTCCCAATACTTGCTGGCTTTGCAAGATATTCAGAGCAGAAGAAAATGGGATCAGTTCTAAGTAAGTAATGATAAGATTCTTAAGTTCTGCAGTACATGTAGCTGTCTGAGCAGGAGAGATAAAAATCTTAAAATTCCCAGTGGAAGTTTTCTTTGCAAGCTTAAGATCATGCAAAAAGACCACAACATCTTCACAACTGCCCCAGCTGACCACCTTCGTGTAGCCTATTCCTTTACATGAAGGGCAAAGTGGTATTTCTCTAGTGGAAGAAGGGTACATCCCAGTGAGAACTTTTATATTAAATAGGCATAGGCTTAAACTAATCCCTGGATTAAGTCCAGATCCGGGCCTGTGAAAAGTTTGTAAAACAAATATTTTGGGTCAATTCTTTAAAAGAATTCAGACTGTTGGTAAAGGTTGAATACAGATGCAATGGATAAAGAATGTGGCCAAGTGCCTCCTGCAAGTCCTCAGCTGCCACCAACCTCCGTGGAGGCCAACTGTAGCCAGAACTTTGGTCAGCATGTCACATCGGAGTAATGAAATTCTTCCATCCATCACGCCTACTGACTGATATCAGATCATACATGGTATTGATTTATCGATTAGAGAAAAATATGTCCTCGACAACAATACTGAGGTGTGTCTGATGACTCCTGAAATTGCCATTTGGGTGAGATTAAGTGGCAGAAACGCAGGCAGCATTTACCAAAACAGCCTTCTAGACAAGGAGTTGTCTCCCACACAGCAGTGGCCAGGGAAGCCACTGTACCCTCTCCAGTGTGAGGAAGTGAACAATAACTCCCACAAGACACTACAACAGCATTTTCCAGTATAAGCTTTGGAGTTCCAGCTATAAAGCCTTAGTGATTTTTTGAGAATATTCAATTTTTTCAGTGTAATATATGTTCTTCAAATTCAATTATATCACAAATCAGTGTGGCAAGAAGTTTACTGTCAGCACAGCAGCTATGAAAGTAGCATTAATAGAAATCCTAATAACCCATATCACTTTTTTTTTTTATAGAATGGTTTGGGTTAGAAGGGACCTTAAGGATCATCTAGTTCCAACTCCCCTGCCATAGGCAGGGATACCTTCCACTAGCCCAGGGTGCCCCACACACCCACCTAGCCCAGGTTGCCCAAAGCCCCATCCAGCCTGGCCTTGAACACTTCCAGGGATGGGGCATTCACAGCTTCTCTGGGCAACCTGTGCCAGTGTCTCACCACCCTGACAGGGAAGAATTTCTTCCTAGTATCTCATCTCAACCTACCCTCCTTCAGCTTAAGGCCATTCCCCCTTGTCCTGTCACTCCATGCCCTTGTAAACAGTCCCTCTCCAGCTTTCCTGTAGGCCCCTTTAGGTACTGGAAGGCTGCTATAAGGTCTCCCCAGAGCCTTCTCTTCTGCTGGCTGAACAACCCCAACTCTCTCAGCCTGTCTCCATAGAAGAGGTGCTCCAGCCCTTTGATCAGCTTCGTGGCCCTCCTGTGGACTCACTCCAACAGCTCCATGTCTGTCTTGTACTGGGAACCCCAGAGCTGGGCACAGTACTCCAGGTGGGGTCTCACAAGGGTGGAGTCGAGGAGGAGAATCCCCTCCCTCAACCTGCTGCTCATGCTTCTTTTGATGCGGCCCAGGATGCGTGTCCCTTACTGCCTTTTCCTGATTTTAAAAGGTAAGTAAAAAGGTTTTCCTCTGTGTCAGCTGCCCCATCGGGCAGCATTCTTTCTGATTCACAGATTAATTCTAAAGACAAATAATCAGAAATGGAAACACGATGGCCCTACTGATGATGCTCAGTGAGACAGACAAAATTGTCACTTGTTCTATATACAAGTGCTATTGCTGACAGAGGTGAAAAATTATCTGCGTCAGTAACAGTGAATGACTCACAAGCAACTCTTAAGGAAAAAAAAGCATTCAAAGGACTAGAGATTCTGACTCCCCATAACCACACATTTCATGAGTTTATACAGAGAGGAGGCTAGTAGCTCATGAGAAGGAAAAAAAAAAGTCTTTTACTGGCAAGAGTTACTAAAGAGTTGACACCACAATTTCATAGTGGTAAAATTTTCATTTCTATATATTTCTCTGATCAGGTCAGACTGATCAGGAAAGGCTGACATAATAATAATCAGTGAAAGAGAGAATTATATCAAGTTAAAAATTGGTGATCACCAATTAAAAAAAGCTACAAAGCTACTAATGGTTGTTGTGCAACAGAAATCTATGGAGCTTCATGCAACACTCATACCAAAGCCAATTTTGCTTTAGATTTAAATAAATAATAATTTAAAAAATCTGTGATACTAAATACTGTTGTCAAAATTGTAGCTCATATGAAAACAAAATACTCAATGAGAAGGGATCTCCCTCCCAAGATTGGCTGACACATAATGGAAACACCCGCTGCAACACATCCCTTGTGTTTTCTTCTACTAATATAAGCATAAGCATTTTTTCCAAGTTACCAGCATTGATGTGCTATAACTGCAATGCTTAAAAATCAGTTGGTGTAAACGGAGCTACGTGCACTTAAATGGAGCTATTGGCCCTGAAACATTTGTTTTTCCTTAAATTGTTTAGTCTTTCACCTCACTACTTCCATACTCTTT